CCCCGCTGCCGGCCCGGGGGGTCTCCGCGCTCAGGAACCCCCCACCCGCGTCCGGGAGGAGGCGTGGAGGGGCGAGCGCGGCCCGCTCGGGCGGTACCTCTCTCCGGCGGGTGGTGGTGGTTTCTGTGCCTCTTCCTCTCGGTCAGGGTAACTTCGGTCGGCGTTTGTTTTCTGCTGCAGAGAAGTTAGAAATGGATTAATTCATAAAAGGAAGAAGAGCAGTCACGGAAACCTTCAAGTTGTGTGTTGAGGTGGTGCAGCACAGACTAACTGCGGTGTTAGGAAAATTATTTGGGAGGCAAGAGTGCAGTAGTTAGAAGGAGACGGTGTTGTTAAGAAACCTCTTGTATTAAGCTGTCCCCAAATATTTCCAAGGGTATTACATGCAATTGTGATTGCTTAAGAGATTGTAGACAAGCTTCTCTCTGTTTATGCAAATATAGAGAAAGAGAAAAGAAAAACACTTCCCCAGGCTACGGTATCATTTCCTTTCCTAAAATTGAAGATTGGATAGAGATTTTGGAAAATGTTCTCAACTTTTTCAACACCAGAAAAAAATCCCTACTAACATGTGGAGAGCTGTCCTCATTTGGGGAGGAACATGCTTTGGGAATGTCCTTTGCTGCTCGGGCAGTGAGGACGGTGCGGTATAGACTTGCATCCATGATGGGTTCCAGTGAAATGGAGGAAGATAGTTTTCTTTGATTAGAAGTGTAAACACACAGCTGTCTTAAAGTTCATTGCATATTTATGAGCGCAGCTGTGCAGTTTGTCTTTATGTAACAATTTTTAAGTTTTTTCCTTAGTCTTCTGTATATGCTGTGATTCCCATTTTTATTAATGTGCAATTATGTGTGTTACAACCTGTGTAACATCTTAGATGTTCTTAAAAGAAAAAGCTTAGTAAATTCAACCAATATTAAAGCAGATGGTGTTGAGATGTATTTCACTGTATTCATTTCAGAGAGTATAGCTATAAGGGAGAGAGCTTTAAAATAGCTTTCTGCTAGTTCTAGAAAGGATTATCTGCAGTGTAAGATTTGAGTTCAGGCTTCCATGCTGCAGAACCCGAAATAAAGTATATCCTTAAAGAGGTAAATATACAATTTCACAAAAGTCATAAACTGGAGACGTGCAGCATGAGGTCGAGGGTCTGGTTCTTGACTTAGAGCAGTGCTTTTTCCATTTGCACCGTGTGCCTTGCTTACTCAGGGTTCCTTGACAGCTATGTTTATCTTTCATCTTGACTTGTTCTCCCTTCACCTGAAGGTTCACATGTTGCATTTCCAGCCATTGAACATCTCCACCTACAGACTTGCAACTAATGTAGGCTTAAGTTTATTTTCCTTTAGCTTGAATTCCTTTGGAAGTTGCCAGCTACTTTGGCTTCCAACAAACTTACTTGTTGTTAGCAAAATACAATCTTTTTATTCTGCTGCAGTTTAGAGAGGTTTGTGGTTTATCTGATTTACTTTAGGAGACCTAAAGCGGAGATCTTATCGGCACAGTTGTTAAACAACCCAAGCCAGGCAGTGCAGCGTGGCAGATAATTTGTGTGTAAGTGAACTGTGTAACACAGATCCTTAAATCAAGAAGTCTCTGCTGGTGTATGAAGAGATCACGAGGGTGTTCTGTTCCACAGAAACCTCTTCACTGAGAAGTCCATGCTTAAGTTTTAATGTTAAAGGTGATGCACAGGTTTTCATAAGTTAAAATGGCCATCTAACCCATGTAAAAACAATGCATTACAGTTCCAAATTATATTTTATGCAGCAACATTTTGTTTTGGTTAGTGTGGGCAGGCTGCCTCGTTTGAGGTTTTGTCTGTATGGTCTCAGGAGTCCAATTAGCGCTACTTTAAATCTGCAGCGCTTACTTGGCCATGGAGGCAAATGTTAAAGCTGCTGAATATAAATCTCATTAGTATAGATGCACACTTTGTACCATATACCAGGGAATTACTAAAGGTCACCTCTCTACTCAGAGTTCTCTCTCATTATGAGAACTACAGTCTTGACGAGAAAAAGGTGTGTAATGTAATTTCAGTTAACTGGCATTAGCTCTGTTTGGTGGGGGAGAGGCCACAACAGTGTGAGCAGACCCTTCCCTGTTGGCACGTCAGGTGCAGATAAGCTTTTCTGTAGGTTTTGGTTAGTAAGTACTGATTTTTGAGGGAGGGGAAGCATATATGGGTCATGTTCTAATCTAAAATTGTTTGTAATTGTCTAGTAACATGATGATGCAGTGTAGGTGAAGCTGAAAATCATAATACCGAGCTGAAAAAAGGAGAAGATGGTCTCGAGACAGGGGTTTTCTACAGCTGAGGTTTTAGTAGGTAGTGGGATATCCCAGCGGGAGCTTCCCTTTTTTGTCTTTAAAACCAGTCTGGTGAAAGCACAGTGATACTCTGTTAGGGGACAGATTTGCTCTGCCTGAAGCATGGATCGTGTGGACAAGTGGGTCTTCTCACTTAATGCTTTGCTAAATTGTGAGTGCTTAGTTTCTAACCTACTGCCTGTTAAAAGTCATTGAAAGTCTCCCAAAGGCACACCAAATTAATTTCTACTTTTACTGAACCAAAGAGGCTAAGCTCCATTGGTAGCAAAGAGCTGTTGCTGCAGAGCCCGCTCTATTATATGTCTCTTTTGTTGCTGTAATGATCTGTGTGGAATAATTACAAAAGCTTGTTTGTTTGAATGACTAAAACCAGTACAGTGAGGTGAATACTTCGTCTGCAAAATGACATGTTTCCTGAACGTTTGGCTTAGTAGTAATTGTACAAGGAAAATGCGGTTTGCAATACTGGCCTAACAGCACATACTCCGCAGTAAAATTAGAGGTAGCTTTCCAGAATGGTCTTGTGTTCTGCTATAATACTATATATGTTGTTCTTATGCAGATTATCTCGATAATGGCAATAATAAAATGGCAATCCAGCAAGCGGATAAACTGCTCAAAAAACACAAGGATCTTCACTGTGCAAAGGTAAGTGTGATTGCGGTGCACTCGGCTCGTTTGGTGAGCGTAGCTCTGAGACTTGGGGTGTTTTGCTGTGCTTTATGAGCAGTGTCCATGATCTTCCAGAGACCATGGTGTTTTCTGAACCTCTGGAACATCTCGGGCTGTTCTAATTCACACAATACCATGTTTGCCTGAAAACTTGTGCAGATATTCTTGGTGAGGTGCCTCTAATGACTAGGGTGTAATTGGTTACACCTGAGCTAATTGTCTAGCTCCCTGTCAGAGCCACTGCAAGCAACCTTGGCACATGGGCTGTGCCTTAAAAATCCCTCTTTTAGACCTTAGGTTGGGATACCTATCTGTAGTAGTTTGGACCAAAACATTTCCTTGGGAGGTGTAGTCCTTAGTAAAACATAACAAGGTAATTTTGGAGGCATTTGCTCTTTTCCTTCTTGTTCACTGCCCTCCTTGCCGTGCCCCTGTTGAAGGGAAAGGAGTTCTGTTTCTCGGTTTTCTGAACTATGAGACTCTACTTTTCTCTCTTCCCTGTGGGTTTTCCTCTATAGTTCATACCACTTCTACATTTTGAAAGCTTCCCAAGCTGAAGTGAGTGTCATTGACCTGAATCTCATTTATGTGACTTCTCTGGCCAGTTATTGAAAGAAGAAAATGAAAATATTCAGGACTGGTCAGTTTTCAGTCTGCAGGTAGGGAAAACTGAATGGCAACTGATGCCTTGGAGCGGCCTGTACCTGCATGTTTGTTAAGAAATGCAAAGCTGTACTATTTGACGCAGCTTGCATTTGAAAGTTTTCCTCTACAGCCATATGGATTAGAAGCTTAATAAAACCTGAATTTCTGTAGAAGTAACGAGGTGGCTGGGCAAAGCCTCTCCTCACCAGGAATGAGAGGATTTTCACTGGTAACTGCCAACTGTTTTTCTAACAGCTGCCTCTGTGTTGTGTCAATAGGTTCTAAAGGCAATTGGCTTGCAGAGAACTGGCAAGCAAGATGAAGCGTATGCTCTGGCACAAGAAGTAGCAGCACTTGAACCCACAGATGATAATTCCTTGCAAGCACTAACTATTCTTTACCGGGAAATGCATAGACGTAAGCTTTTTCCTTTGCCTCTCCTAGAACATAAATAATCATTTTTTCCAGAAGTATATGTGGCCCACAGTTTCATGGGAAACGTGCGAAGTCCAGGGTTCGTGTATAGGCATGTTATTAAGAGACTCGGAGAATTTAAATGATGCCTGTTATAAATGCCTCTAAGGCTCTAGTGATCACCATAAAGCGAAGAACCTTGTTTAGGCTTCTCTCATTAACATTATTGTGTACACAGTTCCTAAATGAATGGCATGCTAATAATCATCCATCACAATCAACCTATGAGTTCACTTTGTTTTTTAATGAAAGCTACTGGAATTTGTTGTATATGTGGTATATGTGGTAGAGATGACAGATCACATGGTCTGTGGTTTGGAGTGAGCTTGATGCTGTGAGACTGTAGTCGAGGGGTTCAGGCCTCAAGAAGCTGCGTGACAAACAGAAGGGCCTCTCAATTTGACTGCATTAGCTTTTTCAGTATGGATCCTTGTAGTGATACGGTATTTTAAAAATACTAAATCGTGAATGTTTGAGTGACGGAGTAAAATTGCATGTGCTTTTCTGAAAGAAGCCAGATCTTATATACTGCTTATCTACAGCTCTAAACAGTTGTTTCTGGCAGCTTCTTGTGGTTCTTGATGGTGGTAGCAGTGTTTACTGTTCAATTGCTGGAGCAACGATAATGGGGCGAACCAACTTCTGTAGAAATGGGTATTTGGTATCAGTCTGCAATATAGCAATTGCTCATGCTCTCCTAGTTATTTTTATATGTGTGTGTATGTATATGTGGAGTTAAAGCATTGTTTCTTGAACAATACGAAATTTTTGTGTGTATATGTGACTTTCAACATAAACAAACCCCTGAAAATGTCAAAAGCCTTTCTGACAATCTAAACAACTTGCATAAGCATTAAGCTCAGGTTTCTGTATTTTAGGTTTATAACTCAGAAAGGAAATAGTGGGTGTTAGACACTTCCACTTTTGGTCCTGCAAGAAAATTGTAATTATGTGTTTTATGTATGTGTGTCCAGGATATGTAAACTATGTGAAAGACAAATTACATTTAGTTTTCTAATACTACACTGCGATATGATTGTATGTGTAAGGAAAAAAATCTGGAAGGATGAAAATGTAAGAAAGTTTTGCATAAGTATTTAGTCATGATAGACCTATTATTAAAAAGTATAGTGTGAAGTATTTTACTTGTTAAGAGTACTAAAGTAGGCAATTGGGAAATAACAGGATATGACTAACATAAGTAAACCTGGGATAAGAGTAACTAATTTGGTATTAGGCTCTGAAAATGTTCTGTGTTTTGATAGATAATTCACGTGGAGCAGTCATTCTGCCAGGAATAGAAATCTTCATTCAGTTTAATGCTCCAAAATAGACAAACTTTCTTAAGAAAAAGACTTAAGTGCTTCTGAGCAGTTCAGTTGTTGCTGTTAACTCTATTTTGAGGTTGGTTGGTTTGTTTGTTTTAAGCACTTTCCTCCTTTGCCTAATGTTTGTAGTGCTTGGGGTCTTGGGGGAGAGAGTATCATTCTTGTGGTTGATGAGTGTAATTAGATTACTGTTCAGAGTATCACTGATCCTATCTTTAGGTAGCTGTGCTTTAAAATTATTCCCAAATTTGCCTTAACTCAAGCATCTGGTTTTGGTTTAGCGGAACTGGTAACTAAACTTTATGAGGCAGCTGTAAAGAAGGTTCCCAACAGTGAAGAGTATCACTCTCATCTCTTCATGGCCTATGCCAGGGTTGGAGAGTACAAGAAGATGCAACAGGTACAATCAACAATTTGTGTTCTGGTCATTTTAAGGTGTCTTTTTCTGTATATCTTACTGTTAATGCCTTTTCATATTATGAGTAGTCTTCCAGAAAGCTAAACTGGGTTAATGCAGAAGTTATACTCTATGTTAGTTTTTACAGAAAGGCTTAAAAGACGATTATTTAGGGGGTGGGTTATCTGAAAACAAATGCTTTCTTTTCCTTACGTGGGATAGGACAACTGTGCCTTTTGTGTGCATATCTGGTCTGATAGAATATGTTGGTTATTTTGGGAGGTTTTTATCAATCTGTCTTGAACAGTATGGTGTTACGTATGAGGCAGTGTATTATAAAGGAATTCTGGAATAGATACAAGATGATTTAGCAAGATTTTCTGATCCATGTTTTCAGACTTGATTTACTCCTTAGTTTGCTGTTACCTTTGAGAAGAGTAATCTTGCCCATGCTCGTACCTCTGGAATCTAACATGTAACTAAGCTTGTATTGGTTGTACTTCTGTGAAGAAAAACTAAAAAGCACTTCCTTTAAGTACATCTTCTCAGTTGGCAAAACTGTGTCATGCTGGTTAGTTTTGTTTTCATCCCTTCCAAATTAGGTGCCTGGAGAATGCCTATAAATGGAAGATTCTTTTCAAAGCATGCGCCCTCACTGTTCTGTATAAAAAAGCACAGAGAGCCAAGTAAATGAGTCCTAAACTCCCTCTCGTTCCCACTGTGTTAAGGTGACTTGAATTTTTGTACAAGTTTGGTTTAAATAACTGAAAGAATATATTGAGCAGAAGTGTTGTTCTCCATTGTAGCCCAACTTGTATGCTGTTTGATTTCAAGCTGTAGATAGGGGCAAAGTTATTTATGTACATGAAATTACAAGCCTCATACGACAATCTAAACTTCAGAGATGTGCCTGTATGTTAATTGTACTCCTCTCTACAACCATGAGTGAAAAAATGCCAGTCTTGCACAGATAATGATATTTAACATTTATCTGACCTTTTGTATGTTTAAAATGTCATACAAACATGTATCTAGTTAAGTTATCCAGACATTGTCAGAGAGCAGGATGTTCCAAATTGGCCTGTGCATTTGACCTACGGACTTAGAGATGCAAAGAGCGCATGGATGCTAACTGATTGGAGAGTGAAAATAAACCTCAGCGTCCTGTGTTCTGGCGTATTTCACTGAAAGTACTGGAATATGCAAACTGAGACTGCAATCAGGAAATCGGCACAAAAGTCCATCTGTGGTAGTAGACTGTATTATGTGTAGTTTCGTAAAATTAATTACAAATTTTGTATGGGTAAAAGTGTTGTCCTTCATTATATACAGACACTGGGAACCTGTGAGAGAAATATGTGAATAACTGTTTCTGTGTTAGGCTAGAGAGTCTTGAATACTTTGGCTCTACTTTGATACAGCCAAGCTTTCAGCTCGACCTTTGCTTAACCACTGCTTTGCACGTATAGGTGACCTCATGTTTCGGATATGTGAGTATGTGTATGTAGGAGATGAGTGTTGAAGGGCAGTTACTTACATGAGGGAGGCATGTGGTTTGGTGTGCCTTTTAGCACTGACTGAGCATACTAGTGAAAACCAGCACTGGAAATATCCCCCTCCCTCCTAAACAATAAGTCTTCTGCTTCCTGATGTAGTTACCGCTTCTAATTAAAGCTGTCATCTGTTTAGGCAATCATACATGCACATGCTCGTTGCCGTTCTGTCAGACCTACGCAAAGTACTTGATTTTTGAGACATTTTCACCCTCTATTTTCTTCTTTAGAATGTGTGTTAGGATGGAATGGCTCATGGGTTGATAAAAATCCTCCTATCTAGTTGCTAATTCTGTGTTGTCTGCTGCCATCATTGCTGCTTAGCTTGCGTTCTCTGTCATGAGAGATCATAAACAGATACGTTTCAGGAATGATGAAACTTTGTCTTATATTTTTCAGGCTGGAATGGCACTTTATAAGATTGTACCCAAAAATCCTTACTATTTTTGGTCTGTGATGAGCCTGATTATGCAGGTGCGTACAGTGTTGCAAATGAGTTTGATTTTCGCTGCAGGTATAGTGCAAACAGAAATGTTCCAAGTGAAGATATTAGAGAGATTTTGAGTAAAATGTCTGTTTGAACTGTTTCTCTGTGATGCTGGGAGAAGGACCAAACCCTCCCGAAGTAGCATTATTGATGTGGTTCAACATGAATTGCTGTAGTGTTTTTATAATGCAACTTAACTGGTCTGCCTTGCCACATTTATGCAACTTGAATTACTCTCTTATCTGGACTAGTACCCTACTGTCTGTTTGGTTTGGTTTAGTTAGAGAGCTAATAAATAAATCCTCAAATACCTGCAGCTCCTCAGGCAGAACTGTTCCTCTCTGTAACTAGGTTATAAAGGCTCTAGGAGGAAATAAATGAGAGCTCTGGACTTAGCATGCCTTTAAGACTGCAGAAAGTCCACAGGAATAGACAGCAGATCAGCTGTGCTGCTGTTAGTTGAGATAGCAGACTCGGGCACTAATCAGACAACCTGACAGAGTGTTGGCCAAGCAAAAAAGCATGGAGGCATTAATCATATTCCCTAAAATACTGTGCCATGGAAAACACAAACGTGTTCTGGCTACATGTTATTTGCTGTGGATATTGTGTGCCTAGATGCGCGAGTCTCTGGACAATGTAATCAAGAGTGAGCTTTTCAGTATATCACTAGTTTTATTGCTGCCTTTTAACAGAGCAGTTGCTCTCTGCACGTGACAGATGGCAGCTCTGAATGTGTGGTTTTGGGAGGGATTGAAGCACCTGGGGTTGTTTCTTTCCTTTTCTAATGTGAAAAAATCAGTGGGTGGACCAACACAAAAAGTTGATGAGCTGTTACAATAATTCTTCTCTTCCTTAGTCTATTTCAGCACAGGATGAAAACCTCTCAAAGACGATGTTTTTGCCACTAGCTGAGAGAATGGTGGAAAAAATGGTGAAAGAGGATAAGATTGAAGCTGAGGCTGAAGTAAGACTTGCAGATACTTTCAGCTTGATTTGAACATTATTGAGACAAGGAATGCACTGTTAAAGGAAATTGATTGTTTTAACAGTTTACAAAGATAATAATCAGTAGTGTTCTGGAAGTAAATGTGAATGTAGCAGGACAGAAGGAAAACCAAGAGCAGAGGGTTGAGAGGGATTTGGAATCATGTGGCAAAGGAAATTTTCTGGCTTAGATTTGACTGATGAAGTACTTGGTTTTGCTCCCTGGGAGGCCCCAAGAGAAACTTCAGGACTGAGAATGGAAAAAAGACCTGAATTCCTGAATGTTCCACCCTCTGGGATGCTAAAGATAGCTCTGTAGGCCTGGCTATCTCCTATTTCTAATGACAGTAACACAAGCCACTTTATTTCTTGGCACACCTGTATATTGTTTTACTAGCAAATTTCATTGCAGCCTAATCTTTCTTTTAAGGTCGAACTGTACTACATGATTCTGGAACGTTTGGAGAAGTATAAGGAAGCCTTAGACGTCGTGAGAGGAAAACTAGGAGGTAACTTGTTCTGTCAATTAACAATCACAGTTGTGTGGAGGAACAGCAGTTCTCCTTTGCTTCAGACTTGTCCACTGGTTACAAAAAAAAAGGCTGTAAGAAGCCTGACTCTTAGGACCAGTTTCAAACATTGATGCAAACTCTGGAGATGCTCTCATGCAAGCTGGTTTTACCCACTTGTTTATGGTATTTAAGTGTTACTCAGTGATGAACTTTGCAGTGGTATGCTTAGCAGTGGTAAATTGATAGCATCTTAATTTGTTGTAGCTGCTATCTTAAAAAAAAAAAATTGTTCTTAATATCCTACATTTTTGTGGACTCTTTCTGGTGATTAAAATACACTTGTAGTTTTAAGGAGTTGGGATATGAAGGTTCCCATAGCAAATCTGTCCTTTCTATCCTTCAAGGGTCTCTCTCCTGTTCTCTTATACTTACTGTTTTGCATCCTTGGCTATAATAAGAAGCTTTGTGCAGAAAGTAGAGAAGGAAATGCATTGATTAAATAAACTTGCCCTTCTGTTTTTAATTTAGAGAAGCTGACAAGTGAGCTCCAAAGCCGCGAGAACAAGTGTATGGCAATGTATAAGAAGCTGTGTAGGTGGCCAGAGTGCAATGCGCTGTCGAGAAGGCTGCTGCTGAAAAAGTGAGATGGTATTTCTGCAGTCCTACTAAAAAACTGAAGAAAAATTCTGGGCTGGTTGTGAATTGCCTTTTTTAGTGGCTTTTGTAAATGGTGGTTAAAATAGAAGAACATCAGAGGATCTCAAAGCATTTCCAAACGTTTACACTCCAAAGCCTGAGGAAAGGGCAGCAGAATGGAACGTTAAAAGGATATGGTAAAGGTCACAGGGAGACTCAGTGTCAAGACTGTAGTTGCTTTTTTTGAAGACTGACTTTAGCAATAAAATTAGTGCAATAAAATTTTGTTTACCTCATTTCTAAAGGCTGTGCTGGTTGTCCACTTCTAACTTCCATGGTGGCAGAGGAGGAGAACTGTATTTACATCTAATTTTCTGGAACTTCATTTCTCTCACTTGGCCAGACTTCATACTGGGAAATGCATGTAATGCTTTGAACAGATGCATCAGGAGAGAGCACACTAGTATGATCAAATCTGTCTCTTGGAACTGTCAAGAGAGATTTGTTTGCCTTTTGTATTTAGCTGTGCCCTAATCTTAAGTATAAATTAAATACAGAGGCTTGAAGATTAGAAGGTTCTGTCTGCCTCCACTGTCCATGGGGGCAGCAAAATGTTTCTTCTCTAGAGAAGTTGTTCTTGGTATTTAATATTTGTTAAATATATTTGCAGTGGGAAAAACTGGAGAGAATAAGCATCAGCTTTACAGGACACTTGAACACAACACTGACAACGTGTAGAACTAATATAAGGACATTTTCAGCTTTACCTCTTTGTATTTGGCATCTCCTGTTCTATACTCTTAAATTGCTCTGAACATGGGCAGGAGAAACTTCTGATTTAGCATTTTGTGGGGATATTCATGAGCTCTGACTGGAATGTAAATGTTAAGAGGAGAATTTGTAGCTTGCCTCAATTCTTTATTGATATTGTTTCCTTTAATATGTTTCAAGACGTTCAGGATGATAGCATTCTTAAGATGTGAGACCTTTTCAAGGAGGAATTATTCTTATTACAGTTGTTTTTACTGTAATATGAATATGTGCTATTCCTTAAATTCAGCTTTTGCAAGGAATATGGTTTTAGAAGTGAGTTACTGTTCTGTGATTCCCTAAACTTTGTTCTGTGCCTAATTTTTGTTTCAGCTCAGATGATTGGCAGTTTTATATAACTTACTTTGATTCAGTGTTTCAACTCATTGATGAATCCTGGACACCTCCGCCAGAAGAAGAGCAGTAAGTAACAATTTTGCCCTGGATTTGTTTTTCCTTTGTGCTACAGCAAATTGTTTGCATTCGTATATATTCTGTGTCTTTGGGTAACTCCTTGACATCAGACCCCAAATGATGCGTTCTCCCTACTTTGTTTTGGAGGCTGGCAATAGTTTATTGGAAACAGCTGTATAAATAGTGGTTTGTACACTATAGAACTCTTCCAGTTTATATTTTTCATGGTGATTGAGTTAGAGAATCCATCATGCCAGATTTCCTTAGGAGTATCGTGGGAATATGCTGAGCACATGTTATCAATGCCCTAGCAATGGGAAAAATCAAAGAACCTTTTGTCTCTTTCATTGTACAGCTCTTTGGAAGGAGAGGTACACTATTCTGTAGAGCAAGCTGTGAAATTTATAGAAGAGAGGATAACAGAAGAATCTAAGAGCTCTCGGCCACTTCGGGGACCATATTTAGCTAAACTGGAGCTGATTAGACGTTTGCGATACAGAGGTTGTAATGATGAATATAAACTAGGTAAGAGCTACTAACTGGATGATAAATTAATCTTTCAGAGAGAGCACAAACTTGGAACAAGCTCTTTGCTAAATCACTGAGTTAAATACAATCTCTGTAAAACGTACGTGCTGTTGTCTGTATGTAAGGCATTTGAAAATGAGCCTTGAAGAAAAGCAGGTAGTTCCAGACTGCTCCAGGGCTTGTAAAAGCAAGGATGGAAACTTTCAAAAGGACCTATGGGATCTAGGAGCATACAGTCACTGAGATTGTAATGAAAAGTGCATGTGGAAAGTCCTGCTGTTACGCAGGTGATTTTTCATTTAAGTTTTTTGGCAATAGTACCAGGTTTTGCTTTTTAAAAACTTGCATTTAAAAATCGCATTTAGGGAACCGGTGGAGGAGGGAATGTGATTAGAGCAACATCTGTGCTACTTACTAGTTCCTTTTGTATTTCCATCCAAAAATAAGTTACTGTTAGATAAGCAGAGGCTGTGTACGCATGCCTGTTATGCTGAGCTCTTATCTGCCAAAGTAGCTTGAATGAAGCTCTTGGGGTTTTTTCATGTGTCCTTGGTTACCAAAGACATTGAGCCTCTGTTAAAATCTGCAGTAGTGCAGTTATTCCTTTTCTAAATAGCTATGTAATCTTGAAGGGGGGAAAAAAAAAGCATTAACGAAGATTTCTCATAGTGATTTTACAGATTGAGCTTTTAATAGAGCATATTAAAAAGATGAACTGGCCTTTTTTCTAGGTGATCCAGAAGAACTAATGTTCCAATACTTCAAAAAATTTGGGGACAAACCCTGCTGTTTTACTGATCTCAAAGTATTTGTGGATCTGCTCCCATCCAGCCAATACACAAAGGTAAGGAAAGATAAGTGGTGACAGGAACTGCAGCGCTTGTTTGCACTCTGGTCCCTTTATCTTAAAATACCTGTGGATCATGATAAAAGATGGGAAGCATCAAATTTTTACCTTCTGTTTGAAATGCATAAGACTCTTTGCACTGCAGAAAATATAATGAACATCTGAATACACTGAGCAATTTCATTCGGAGAATTTTTACTGGAGACTAAAAATTAAGTTTGATCCTGCAGAGTCTCAGACACAGATGTATTTATTTGGATTTTTATTACGATTTCAAGGTGGCAGGGTGCTTTGAGATGGTTTTGGTTGAATTCTTGTATCGAAAATGAAAAGCTTGTAATGCTGATGAAAATCACAAGATACGAGCTTGTATCTTGTAATGAAAAGCTCCCTAGGAATTGTAGGTCAATTGATAAGCTACCCAATTAGCTCATTTTTAAATGAGTAATGTCTCATCACTTTTATTTATAGATCATAGCTTACAAAATGGCATAATGTGAAAACAGTAAAGAGAAAGACCACCCTGTTCATTCATTTGTAGCATTTCATTACTGTGTACTGTAACTTTCGTTTTACAAAGACATCCTTCTCTCTCCCTTCCCACTCATCACTTGTTTTTCCCGTTAAAGTTTTACATTTAATGGGAAAAATCTGCTCCCTGATCCGATGCAGGTAGAGTGTCACATAGATGTTTTGCTTGGCTCTGCTGCAGTACTAGAGAGTGGATACCTTGATACTGATCAAGGGGTGACCAAAAGACCTTATGACAACTTTTCCAGAATCTCTTTCTGAAACAAGCTCTCTTTAACTGAAAAGACTATTTGTGCAGAGTCACAAGCAGCTCGTTGAATGACTTCAGCAGCTGGGAATCCTGTCACTCACCCCATTGTTTTTCTAAGCCATTGTGTAAAATTATCAGAGCTGGGGAGGGCTAGATAGAGAATCCTGGATCAGCCAGAGGCTGTTGATAAAATGTTTGCAAAGAAAGTGTAGATTGTAGTGGTGTTTTCTTAGTTTAGTAAAATATTTTTTGACTTCTAATGCAAGCTCTTCCCACGGCCTCACTAATGAGGAGAACGGTGGCCCTGGCTTGTATGGGTTGCTACTGATGTTTTATGTTAAGAGGTGTGGTTTTACTCCACTGGCAAGAGATGTGGAAAGTAGGATATTTAACTCATAGTTATGGAAATGGTGATACCATTGCAAGGTAACCCTGAGGTCCTGAAGCACTGAACAAGTTTAATCCTAGCTTTCCAGGAAGCAAATTCTAAACCCGGAGTGGGGGGAATGGTATTTAAAAAGAACAGTTTAGGCTACAATTTTGTCGCAGTGCTTGTGAAAATGACTTTGAATAAATTCTCTAAAATTTTCTGATTGGCCTTAAAACTGCTGCTGATGTAGTGCATATGTTATTGTGTCATACTGATATGTTAGAAAGTCTTTCCAGTGTATGGCTGTCGTCTCCGAAGCATGCATTTGCAGCAGTTTAACTTGGTCAAGGAGATGTGTAGCTGAGGAGGGTTAGTGGTGCTAAAGTGCTGATGCATTTTTGAAATCTGAAAGTTTAAGTTACTTCAAGAAGATATTTATAGATTGTCTTAGACTTATTCTTGTTTCACAGCAAAAAAGATGCTGAAGATGGTTGTATCCTAGGGTAAAGTAGCAGGTTCACACTGGGGCTATACACAGCTGGGGGAGGTCTTTTTTTTTTTTCCTCTTTGAGAGTTCTGAGTAGTGTTACAGTTCAGTAGCTGAGAATGTGGAGATCTTGCTGGGCCACCAGACACACGAGATATTCCAGAAATAATCATTGTGACATCAATCTTGAGTTCTAGAGGCGTAAATTGGAGCATGCGGCCTAGTGATTCAGTTGACCTTGCCCAGCTTGGCAAAATCTCAAACTGAAAAAATTTGTCAACACAGTCTTCATCAAAGTCTATGGGAAAACTGGAATTTGTGTACATGGTGCTATGTGTTTCTCCTATCTAGCTGTTATGCTTTTTGCCTCGGGCATGCATTTGATGCAGTTCTTGTGTTTCAAGACCAAATGTAGTAAAGCTGAATTCATTGGCTTTAACTCAGTTTTAAGTTTGTAAACACTGTTGGATTTTAGGGCAACAAAAAACTACTGTCCAGCCCTGACTGCATGTTGTGAGAAGTCTGCTGTCTCCTGTTAAATTTGGGAGGCTGCTTTTCTTACAACTTAATTCAAAAAATAAGTCATTAATCAAAGATTATGACCTCACTGAGTGCAGTGCATTACTTCAGAGTTGAGAGAGAACGTAATAGCTAGTACAAAACCACTATTTCCTGGATGTGTGCTGTGAAGCCTTTCAGTAGCTAATTATTTTAATTGCATATGTTATTACTGTGAGTGTTAACAGGTGCTTGAACTCCCTTATGTGTCAATGTATTGGAAACTTGCCTGTGATTTATTTTTGCCCTCCATCTGTTTGATGAAACTTACTAAAAGCTATTGAGTGCAACCAGAACTGTGTGCTCATCACCTTTCAAAAAAAAAAAATTGAAGCCAGCTCTTTAACCAGTGATTTCAGTGTGACATCAGGGTTGATACTGACATTTCCACCTTGCTTTTTTTGCTTGATTTGAGGGAGGAAATGATGCTTTCCATTCATGCAGTCCCAGATGCCCTGCAGAATTTAATGACAGTGTTTCTCTTTCAGTTCATCAGTCAATTGCTGGAAGTAATCCCTCTGTCGGCAGCAGCAGAGAATGAAATCGCACTGCCAGCTGATATCAAAGCCCTGCAACAACACTTGTGTGTGGTGCAGCTCTCGAGGTTGCTCGGTATCTATCATGCCATGGATAAGAAGCAAAAGCTGACTGTGGTCCGGGAGTTGATGTTGAGATACCGCCATGGATTGGAGTTTGGTGAGAAAAATCTTGAAACTAATGTTGCAGTTCACTTGCAGCTTTTTATGAGCAATAGTTCAGAGCTTTTTCAGGGGGACGGAACAGCACAAACGCTGATGGCACCCATCGTGCCACTAGGTAATACTTTGTTTTGTCCTTTATGATTATATCCTTGGGCGTACCTGAATTCTCTGTTTCCTTTTAATTTTTTTTCTTTTCAGTTGTGTATCTTAAAGATAAATGAGACATTCCTGGGTAGTTCAGATGGTACATTTATATCTTTGCAAAATTGCCTGTGCCTTTACGCAAAGCCAGGCTTTATCGCTGGTGCACATAGGACAAATACACGGGCAAGAATATTAATTTGTAAATCTTGCAGTTGTAGGAGAGTCTTTTCTTCTTCCAGCAGATGTCAACATGTGAAGTGGCCCAAAGTCTGCTCGTGATGAACAAATGCAGCATGTATACAGTTGTTTCAGTTTTTAAGACAACTCTGGATTTTAAAAATTAAGCTGTGGTTATCGTCTGCCAGATAGCTGTGTCATTTGATAATGCTGACAATGTGAGAAGCAGCTGACAGCGCTGTTAGTAATTCAAGGTTAACTTTTTTCTTCTTTTTAGGGAAATCTTGTTTGAAAACTGAATTGCAGTTTTCAGATTATTACTGCCTGCTTGCAGTTCACCTGCTGCTTGATCTGTGGCTAGAAGGTATGTTCCTAAAATTGTGTCTTGCTTAGTACCACCCTGGATAGATGTGACAGGGAGACTGTCCCTGTGGCCACTGTATATACCTGGCATGGCTTGTTAAGCCCATAGCTTTCTGTTGTGTTTTTGTTTTTTTTTCCTCAATATGGGGTGTTTCAGTAGTCCCTCTATTCAGTTGGTGTTTGATAGGAGCCTCACTCGCCTCTAAAGGGATTTAATTTTTCTGATTAATTCCTGTAAGTCCTGGTAGAGTTTTGCTGATGACTCTTGCAGCTCAGTGCTGGCTGTCTTCAGAAGCTTGTTCTGAGTTTCCCATGTAGGTAATGTTTTCTCTCCCTTTGCGTAAGTTCTGCGGACAATTCCCCTCTGATATCAGAGGTGTTTTGAGAGTATTTCTTCCCCTCTCTGACATACTTTGTCTTTTGGATCCCCTGCTTCTAGACCTTCTGCTGAGAGCTGTTGCCCTGTCTTGAGTATTCCTGTACTCCACATCTGCTCTGCCTGTTAGTCTCCTAATCCCACAGAGTCAGTCTCCAATGGTGGTTGTTCATATTCCTGCCCTTCAGTGTAGCCGTCAGTTACGCCTTTGTCTTCCCCAAGGAAGATTTAGTCTTTAACCTGAGTAAATCCATCGTTGGGTTCCTGGCAGGTCACCGGTGGAGCATGGGCTCTTGGATTCCTGGCTCTGTGCTGCTCTCTTGCATAATGCTTGGGAGTGCTCTGTGTGTATAAGCTAGAAATCCTGAACAGTCCAGGACTCATCAGGGAAGGTCACTTCTCCTGCAGTATGCCCGTGTGCGAGTGCTTTGCTCTATACAAATGTGAGCTAGATACTCCCTGTGAGGAATTATTCCTCCACCTTTCCCTCAGAGAGCAGCTATAATGCAGGGGTGGCTGTTATGTTTTAAGGGCTGCAACATGGCTGATGAATGCCATCTGTGTGTTTAAATGCATGGGTCCATTTTGAGAGGTGTGTAACTCGGGGAAGGAAGCTTCAATACCAAAGTGAACTGTGCTGTTAGTGTTCAGTGCCTCTCTCTGATCATGCCTATCCGTGTGTTTTGTCTTTGTCGCCAGGTGAAGAGACGGCTGTGTGGCAGTGCCTAACTCTCTTAGAAGAAGGGTTATCTCATAGTCCTTCTAATGCTCAGTTTAAATTGCTGCTCATTCGAATCTACTGCAGGCTTGGTGCATTTGAACCTGTTGCAGAGCTCTATTCCAGCCTTGATGCAAAACACATACAGCACGACACCATCGGGTGGGTAGTATATACTGAGAATAATTGGTGATGGTGACCCTCCAGTAACCAGTCCTGAGATCTTCAGTTTCCTTTGCTACTGAAAGTTAGCAGATTATCAGATTTTCATATGGTGTTGTGTAAAAGTGTGTTGGAATTACATGAGACACATCTACTGAAGTATACTCCCCTTCTTGTGGAGTATCTTTCCTGTGTGATTTTGATCAGTTTTGGATTTTCAGAGTGTTAACTGAAGGGAATCTGAAAGAAATTTGTGAAATGTGTATCTTGATGCCAGTCATAGCTTGGTGTTCTGGCTTGTGTCATTGCTCAGCAAAGCTTGGCAGCACTAGTTAAAACAAATATACCAAATGGAAATGGCTGTGCCTTGGTTAGTGTGTTTGTGGGTATCTAATTAAGTAAAGCTCTTGCACACTTAGGAAGGTGGATGGAGGAACTCCAAGCCCCCAGATACTGTCTTTTAAAAAATTAAGAATTCCTTCCATTACTGTTAAAAGCTTAAATTTTAATACGAATGTTGTGATTGCCGTCTGTTAAATCTCTAGACTTTTCATTAAAGCTGGACTGTGCTGGAGTTCGCTGTTCAGAACTGTGTTTGAAATTCAGGTTTCCCCAGGGTTGTGTGTTGATATTTGACTTGTGCTGTTGTGTTGCAGCTATCTTCTGACGCGCTATGCAGAGTCACTGGGCCATTACGCTGCGGCATCCCAATCCTGCAATTTTGCACTCAGGTTTTTCCACTCCAACCAGAAAGATGTAAGTTGAAAGAAACCTCTGTGCCATGTAACAGAGCAGTTATGTCAAGGTGCCTTACAGAAGTTTGTGCCCTATGTAAGGGCTTACAGAAATATAGTGGTGATAACAAAGAGGAATAATACATGCAACTTTGTGTTTATAGTAAAGGTTCCTCAACCTGCGTTTCTCATTGCAAGAATTTGTAACTTACTGGTTTTGCTTTAGCTTTCTGTTTATAAAAGCCAGTTTCAATACTCCTCACAAACAGGTATGATTACTTTCAAATGAATGGATTGTAATTTTATGCAAGAACTTAAGTGAAATGTCATGTGGCACGTAAGTCCTGGTGTCATAACTGCTAGCATTTTGGAAAGTCATACAGCAGCTAGGGATGGTGGGTCAAGATGGTTATGGCATACTCATGAATCCTTTATGTGACAATCACTGAAGTGGCGTGTTTTAGTGATGGCTGTCCTGGGCACACAGGGATGGTGGGGAATGCACATCACTTTAAAAGGTAGGGGAAGTGCAAGGAACAAGGTGGGAGGATTTCAGAGGCGAAAAACTGAATCTTGAAGTCTCAGCTTCGCTGAAGGCAGAGCAGAGCCTAACTAACTGCATTATTTTGAAGTGATAGGATCAAATTGCAAAACCTGGTCTTGTGCTAATGGGAACTACCTGCTTTATTTGGTTCACCCCAAAAAGTGGTTTGAATGAAAAGGAAGTTGTCTTGAATGAGAATCTTGGCACTGGAATGGAGGAGATAGTGAGGGGAGGGTAGCTGAATTCCCCCAAAGGGATCAGGTGCTTCCTAAAATGCCATGCTCTAGGCATCTAGCATGCTTGGAGCTTGCTGATTAGTAAGTGTATTTGTCAAAAATCTTACTTGGAAAGTACACTCTGATGTACATTCTGATACATTCATAGGGAAAATATAAATTCTGTTTCAGAATTCCCATGGAATCCATGAAAAATGGGTTAGGTAGGAGAACGGTGGAACAACACATTCTTGAAGTCTTGGTGGAAATATATTGGGCAAACAGGAAGAGAAATAGTCCAGAATTGTGGTAGGGAAGTATATGCATGTCAGTCCATCTCCCTAAAACGTGCAAGGCAGTCCCATTCTGAGGAGTGGGACTATATCCTATATATTTATATTTTACAGTTTGATCACTGTTGAGAGGTAGGTGAAGAAAATTATTTTTACTTTACTTCGTAAGAAACAAAGGTGCGATGCAGTTGTAACTCTTCCACTCAGCCACTGGCTAAGTTGGCTCTAAAGGCTCCGCAGTCATACAACTTGCTTTCCCACCATCCCAGAAACAAATAAAAACACAAGACTTCTCTGTAAAGATGCTCATGCAGTAATCCCTCAGAAGAGTACCTTTGCACTGTTGGCAGCCTGGGTTGTTCCTGTGTACAAGATACCAGTTGCCATTTACCTGTGCCTGGAAGGTAGATGCTGAGTTACTGTGACCTGTGTCTGACACAGAAATTTCACTGCAGGGAGCGGGAGGCACAGAGGAGCACGTAGATTGTACGATTGGAGCTTGCTCTCATCTGCTTCCCTCGCTTGCTCATTCTTTAAGCACTGATTCTACTTGCTAAGAGTCTTTGGGTTCCTGGGTGCAGTGTTTTGTGCTGGAGTGAAGCCCTGGATCCAGACAGCTTTCTCCTACGTGTCTGTTGATGGTAGTGGTGGCTTTTTTTTTTTGTCTTTTTTTCCCCCCTGTTTTTTTTTTGGTGTTTTTTTTTTTTTTTTTGATGAGGAGTACCTTGTTCAGTCTTGTTTAAAGGTCACTCAGTGGATGTTAATGAAAAGCATACCTGGAACCAACTGTCTGAATAAAAAGCCTGACTGCTGGGTGCCAAGTGAAAAAAGTGAACCGAAAAAACTATTGGATGTCATTTGTCTGCTTGGGAATGCTACATTGTAAAGCATCAAGAAATCCAAAAAAAAACAAATTGAAGTAACTTCAGGTGTGGTTACCTTGGAAGAAGGTTATTCTCTTTGGCGTGAATGATAAAGGTGCTTGCAGCAGAGAAGAGCTGATTGTCTCCAGTAGCTCGACATCTGTACGCAGATGAAGGCAGCCACGTTCCAAGTGCTGTTTCCAGGAGAATGCTACTCAACTTGTGTTCCAGAAACCCTGAAAAGGCAGTGCCTGACTGGTTCAACCTGCCTCACTACTACACCTTAAAAGGTTGAAATTGCAAGAAGGGCGGAAGTGATACAATCAGCATTATATAATTCTTCCTGCTACAAGATAAGGATGTGACTCTGGAACCCACTCGCATCATGTCTCGTCTTGGAGACAGAGTATTGCGACCAAAGGACCATGAGCCATTGTTGATCTTGGCTAGCCAAATCTCTCCCATGTTCTGGACGCTTCCAGTGGTTATCACCTTAAGATCCTTTTAGTTGGAAAATGCATCAAAAGCTGTACTAATTTGCAAATAGCTAGTGTCCTTTAAACCAACCATAAGGTGCAAACTGCAGGAGGTGAAGGCTCAATTCAGGGTACTGTTCACCTAGGATCATGGCATGACAGGAGTGGAGACGAAAAAAGGCATTCCTTACCGTAAGGAATGTCCCAAGTATCACAAGGTCAGAATCTGCTACCAATTTCTGTGCTGCTGTGGTTCTGCTGGGGTTGCCCCTTCATACTCACAGTCCTGATATCAGCTTCCCATTCGAGTCCCATAACAGCATCTAACTGCAGTGTTAAAGGAGGACTATCCTTTAAAAGTTACCTTTTTATGTGATTTCAAATACTGCCTGCTCCTCTCTAGGTTGATGTTTAAGATAGCTGCAACGTCTGCTACAGCACAGAGAACGTGTCCTGCGGCACACTGTGCGTGGGACTCTGCCTAGAACAGGAAGTGTGGGATGTAAACGAAGTGGTCTGGCATAAAAATATAGCTACTGATTCAAACTGATTGCTTTCGATAAATATGTTTTCCTTCTGACTTGCTGAACTTAACAGCCTGAAGTGAATCCTGTTTAAGACTGGGTCCCATGAGTAACAGCCATCTAGGATGCTGTGCAGTCCTGACGCAGTATTTCTGCTCTGGAAAAGGATGCCAAGGACAGGGAGGAGAATAGAAGGCAGTATTGCTATATTTGGCCAAAACTAAAAAGGCAACTTTGCCCTTATCAAGATAGTCCTCCTTTAAATATGCAGAATCAGAAGTAATCTCTCTAATTTTCTTGTGTCCGTCCGTCTTTAATTTCTCCAGATACTGCAGGCAAACAGAACACCAACGTATCCTATGGGGATTTAAAAACCACGTCGATGCAGTTGAATTAGCGCCCATAGCGCAGTCCCGCAGCCTGACAATGAACTCTGCAAGGCTGTTTATCAGAGGGTATGTTGTTGAATATTTGGCATATTTTTTCATACAGTGCAAATAACCAAATTTCTTAGGAAAAAAAGACAGAGCTACCTAGAGGACATTTCTTATTTTAAAGGGGGAAAAAAAAGGTGGCTTTCATCTGTTCGTACTGGCTTCTAGTCTCTAAGAGCCTTCCAGACAGGTTGAGTCTGTTAGTACTATATAAAGTTTAGTTAACCAGGGGCCTTTTTGATGCCTTTCATCTTCAGTGCATTTCATAATCTTGTTCAGAAGAAAATAATTTATTTTTCTAGAATTTCTCACTTGTGGAGTAATTCTGATTTAAAAAAATACAGCCATCTGTCTTGACTGGGAGCATAAGTTGTTCACGCTGTCTCTACTGTTAGAAGTTTTCATTAAAATACAGTGCTTGTTTGCGGCTCCTTCGTCATATAAATCTCCTTCTGGAGATTACTTGGACTGATGTGAAATATTAGTTGTGTGCCTTGCATTGCTGCATTTCATCAGAGGGGAAGCAAACTATCCCATGGACCCTGACAGTTCCCTTTGGTGTTTAGATTGTATTGTAATGTGTATACACTGCGTGATATTATCTTGTGATGCTGTATTCAAAAATCTAATAAAAAAGAGAAATAAAAAAATGTGTGAGTAATTTTTTTAATCTATGTTGCGGTAATATGTGATGCACATCCAAGTCAGTTCCAGAAAATCTGGGATATATTTATTTTGCCTGAAAAGTACTTTTCACAATGAAACAATAATTTGAATAATGCATCTCAAAAAAAAAAAAAAAAAAAAAAAGCCTTCTAAAATCATCTCTTCCCTCCTTTAAGTATTTTTCAGTCTCAGTGGTGACAGTCATGTGGTGTTTCTTAGTGTCGGTTTGGTTATTAAATCATACTGCCCGGTGGAGCATCTGGGCATTCTCAAATTAAAGTAGCAAAACTGCTGGGGTGACTTGGACAAGCAAAAGTGCAAGCTTCTCCCAGGGATTGAGTATCTGCCAGATTCTGTACCTCTGGGTTAATGAAAACCACAGAAATGCAATTTCGTGGCAGTGACCTTGTTAACGTCTGGTGGTTCTGTATTTATGGAAGTAACTAATACAGAGATGGTGTGTGTTTTCTTCCAGACCTCAGAATATATCATTCAAGCCTACAAGTACGGTGCGTTTGAGAAGATCCCAGAATTCATTGCATTTAGAAATAGGCTGAACTCTTCCCTTCACTTTGCGCAAGTTCGCACAGAACGGATGTTGTTAGACCTCTTACTTGAAGCAAATATGTAAGTACAGCAGTGACAAGCGCAGCACCTTGCACGTGAAAAAATTGGAGATTTGTGCATAGGCAGAACACTGGCCAAGTGAGACCTTAGCGAGTTGCAGTTGCAGCTTTTTGGCAAAAACCTGTGAGCTACTTCTCTCCACTTCTAATTTGCTCTCCCCTTCAGCATCCTTGTCAGTACCACGTATGTGTAACACTTCTGACATAAGAAGAGTTGAACAATGGAGAGAATGTGGTTTGTTAGTGAGCTGGGTTTTCTGTTTCCAGTGATCAAATGTTTGATTTAATGTTGCTTATTCACATATACAGATCAACCAGTTTAGAAGAAAGTATAAAGTCCATGAGTCTGAGCCCAGAGGAGGATGACATTCCATGGAAAGATTTGCGTGACAACAGAGACCTGACAGTCTTGTTTAACTGGGATCCAAAAGACAGGTGAGTAGAAATATCCTCAACTGTAGAGTCACAGTAAGCTTTTCCTTACAGCACACATGGCGAAGAAAATCCTTTCAGGGTCACTGCCGTATTTAAATGTTCTCTAGGCTGGCTAACTGCAAACTTAACAAGCATCATTCATCACTTCTAGCAGTGCTGCCTTTTTACATATTAATACAGTTTCCTGAATTTCTGACCACTCCTTCCTCTTCATACAGTATTCGATAACTTTGGGTAGGCTTTTGTACCTGAGTGAAGCTTGCTACTTTGCCAAATTGAAGCATTTGCCTGAAAACATTTGGTGCCTTTCTCTAGGGACATTTCTGAAGAACATAGGAAACTCTCACTGGAGGAAGAAACCATGTGGTTGCGAATCCGGTCTTTAACTTTAAGGCTAGTAAGCGGACTCCCAACTCTTAGTCACAGTATTCAACCAAAGAACTCTGAAAAGACTGCAGAGAACGGCGTCTCATCCAAGATTGATACAATTCGATCCCTGCTTCAGCAGCTGGAAGCGGCAGTGGATTCAGGGAAGAAGTTTCTAGAACAAAAAATTCAGGTACCCATTAAGGAAAAAGCTATCCCCAAATATTAAATGAACATGAATGCAAGCAGAGAAACTGAATGCATCTTGTAACGTCCAGCAGGCTGCAGAATGCACGTAACTGACCCTGAGTTTGTAGTGTATGAATCTGACTGAGAGATGTGCCAGAGACAAACACTGTGTTCTGGATAAGGAAAAGCTGCAACACCTTTTATCTTTTTCTTTGCTTCTTGCCTAGTATCCTGTCCTTGGCCCTCCTCCTACCCGAATGGCTGGCTTCTTCAGTAATGGCAGCTGTCAATGCCAGACTAGCTTGTTTTATCTTGTTAGTGATATTTATGAACTAGATACCAATGGCTTAGGTAAGTGTTTGAGGGGCAGGGGTTTAACCAGATTGTCATGATGTGTGGTGGGAGGGAGCGAGATGTGTCTCCATTTACTTTGAAAACTACTAGGCGTTGGCTGATGTGGACCCAAACTTACTTGTGTATTAATTTTTTGAATGACACTAAGTTATCTGGGAGGCGACGCCTTAATTTAATGTTCTGTGCAAGTCTTCATTTTTGTACAGTGTATGTTGATGTAATACTGGATCCTCTTTGAAAGCAGTTGTATTTGCTTTTGACTGCTAACACTAAATTATGTTTAAATGCCTCTTAGTTTTCTGGAAGCAGAAAATACACAAACTTTTAGTTTATAACTACTTTTTTTCTTTCAGAAGATTCAGCAGAAATCCAGGAGAGGATAGGGCATAGTTTCAAGTCTTTAGTAGAACGACTAACAGGTAAATGGTAACTCAAGAATAAACACTGGTAGTGCTTCATGGTGGTCTGAGGATGTGCTGCTGACTGTGCTGCAATTACGGGGAAGTGTGGTAATGCATCTGCAGACCCCTTTGAAAGATACTTGAGAACAAGGCTGAGATTCCCCTTGGCTTGTCTGATCATGAAGCTGTTGCATGCCACAGAATGTTATGTCCTATCATTTTGCTACCTTGCAGCCTAGTCTTAGAAACTGTTGTCCCTCTGGTACTTGGTCCAGGTGTGCTAATAAATAGAGTGGAGATACTGTTTGTAATGAAATAAAATTCAGAGGAAACTTCAGAGCTGGACCTTCTTGAGAGGCTTTGGCCAAATTTATCATTAGCTGCTTAGTGGTCAGTCCTCTGACAGCTTTGTACACCGCACTGAGACACATGCTGTAGAGAAAATACGCATTTAAGTTGATCTACATGTCCTGAATAAGGCACTTCTTTTTTCTTTTCAGACTTGTTCAATAAATGTAAAGGTGATTTGATTGAAGTCAGAGATGGCACCTTGAAAACTCATCCAAACCTGTTAGAAAACCTAGTCTTCTTTGTTGAGGTATTGTTTTCTTTGGAAACCAGAAATTTTTGCGTACTTTAGGGTAGAAATATTGGGACTAAAACACAGTGAAGGTTCTTTGATCTCAGTAACTCATGAAAACAAGAGTTTTTTGTTGCATATTCTAACTACTCTGACAGACTCTCTTGAGTCTTATCAGTAGGAACACTAAAGTGAGTATAGAAGCCTCCTGTAAAAGCAACTTGTAACATACTTGTACCTTTTTTCCAGACGATCTCCATTGCCCTGTGGGTATCAAGTTACTGTGACAGTGTCCTCCGACCTTTTAAATCCAACCTGCAAAAAAAGAAGAAGAAAAAAAAAGAAAGCAGTGTAGCTATGGTAGACAATATTCCTTTCTTTTCTTCCCCCACCCCCCATCCAACAGCATATTTATACTGAAAGAAAAATCAGGATCGATGACATGTTAATAAACTGTTTTTCATAAACTTTGCCTTGTAGAGGCTGACATAGGTTAGAGATTACTCCGTACTAATTCTTAAAACTCCTTTTCTATTTAAAATCAAATGGTGACGTGCCACATCTCTGACATCACATAACAGCTTTTTAATAGGAAACACAGTTTAGAGTATCGCAGGGCTTTCTGCCTTGAATGCACTCCAGGGAACTAGTTAACTGGTGGTATTTATCTGGGTAGGTAGATTATAGCTTAGCGTTGGGGGGGACAAGTAGAATGATAGACGTTACAAAGTGAGTTGTCATATAACATGGTCATTTGAATAGGCATTAATATGTGTTTATAAATGTATTTGTTTTTATAGCCACCTGTATTTACACATTTTCTGGATTATGTTACTGAACTACAGACATTAACTTCCAATGTAATAGATCACATCAAAGGGCTTGAAATAATTCTGACTGCACTAAAACTTGAAGAGCTGTCCCTCAAGGACACTCTGCTTTTACAGGTAAGAACTTGCATCGTTATTTGTGTGCTATATACATTTGTGTGTGACCGATAACAACCTGCATGTAGCGTGCCTATGGGATAACTTTGTTGAAAGCTTCTTTTCCCCAAAATGTTTTACTGGAAGGAAAAAAAAAAAAGGAAAACAAGCAAAAAACCCCCACATGTTATGACTGACTTAATTGTTCTTCACCAGAGGTTAGGGACCAGGCTGCTAGAAAGCTTAGTTTTAGAGTGGTAAGTTAAGGTTTTTTTATAGTGACAGTGACTTTGCCTCATCTGATCAGCTCTAGCTCACTGCACAAAATAATCTCAAAAAATGAGATCTAAACACAGGAATTTGAAAATACTTTCATTTTGTGTGGTATGTTAGTGAAGAAAAACTTAAGGTTTTAACATTATTTTGTTGTCTGTGATATGACTTATTCTATTATCTATGGTTTAGCATACCATAATGGATGCAAAATACTTATTCCAGGAAACGTTTGAGATTCACCTACTGCTGATTAGTCACTTCCTTGGAAACAATTACTTGATCTTTAAAGAAAAACAAGCGGCAACTCCTCCCCGCCAGCTCTACAAGGAAAAACAAAGGCAGGAGTAACAGACACTACACATGCCAAACCTCATGCCAAATTCAGACATGTGAAGCATGGGCCTAATGAGGAAGCTTGGCTTTTTAAGCCATGGCAATCAGATAAGAGTTAAACTTTGTGATAGACAAGTTAATGTTACTGTCATAAGGGATCTTCTAACAGTTCAATACTTACTATGAATGTATTTGTTTAAAACAGTGGTTGAGATCCTGAAAATGGTGTCAGAGTCCAGCTAAAAAGCCTAGAGGTGACTGAAAGCATAGAATTGGAATTTTCTTTATGGTGCTCTTGAAACACAGGTGGAGATAAAAGGTGGAAGGGAGCAAAGTGGTGGAATAGGTATCATCTTCTGATACACAGGGGAGAGGGGCTGGGGGAGTGGTGAGTCATGCTCCTTGTCAAAGAAGGATTGCAGATTCCAGGAGAAAGGTTTGAGAGGGGAGTCGTCTCCTTACCAGTATTAGTCTGGGGGTGGGAGAGACTGATTTGAGAAAGCACAGGCAGAAGTTGTGTTACCCAGGACCCCCACAAATTCAATTAGGAATTGGCACTTAAGACAAAAACAGGTCTCTGATACGTTTATCTGAAAAGGGAAACTTGGCCTACAGGGTATTGGCACTCATATTTGTGTAGATGGGAGATCTGAAGGCTTTTGAACTGGCGAGGATTTAAAAGCTGCACCCTTGTATTTCAGAAATGCACTTCTGTCCACCTAAGTTGCTGTTAGCCAGCTTATATTTTTTCAATTAGATTGTCCTGTTTATTTCCTAGCATGTTACTTAACATTTTCCTTTTCTTGTTGTTGTATGATGCTGATGCAGAAGTATCTCAAATATATAAAAAAAAAAACAGAAACTGCAAAACCTGATAGAAATCAAGGAAATCCCTTAGACTGTATTTAATGCAAATTTGAATAAAACCAAAAAAGTACATTTTCTTAATATCACCAAAGAATTTTCTTTAAGATTGAATAATCTTATAGGGATAAGAGATTTTCAGATAGTTGTTGATCTTTGTCATTTTTCTGGTTCCTTGCTGAGTGAGCAAATCCCTCCATCTTCCCTTTGATGCACAGCATCAAATTACTATGCAAGGCAGATCTGCAAAACCCAACCGTTAGATTCATATGGATTTGAGCAGAAGCATCTGTGGGAGTCTGCAGCTTTTCCTGTGTTTGTTCACGATGTTTGCTGTTCTGTTTGTTGTTTGACATTGTTGCAGTAAATCCTGATAAATGCAGTCTGTATAGCTCTACTCAGACCTGGAGCTATGTTTGCAGCTCTGTGTGTTTAGAGCTAAAAGGTGCTTTTGAAAAAGTCCTCGTGTTCAGGTATTAGTGAAAATTCTGCTGTGAATGGAGTGAGACTGGTAATGTGTCAGCTGAACCTTGTCACCGATGCAAGATTTTCCCACATCGGTTTGGTTTACGCGGGCTATGCCTCGCAGGCTTTTCTGCTGTAATCTGTATGAGTGTCTGCAAAAGGCATCCTGATAGCAAGTCACCTCTTGACAGAACAGTGGTTATGGCTGCTGCTTTGGGCACCAAGATTTGTTCTTTCTGCATACAGAAATACAGCATCATTCATGATAGGTCAGTGCTAACCTCACTCCACCTGCAGGAGCAGTGCCAACAGTGTTGTGTGATGGTGGTCCTGCTAAAAGCTTTTTAGCTTGGGCATTTTAGAAAACTGCACATTAGAGGGAATCTAATCACTTTGGGAAAGCTAGGTACCAATGTTGCTGAATTGGTGACATCTGAACCTGTCCCAGGCACTGCAGCTCACTATGCTGTGGAATTTGGTGTAAGAGTCTCTTAGCTGGTCAGCGTTCCATTTGCTGTTTGATTTCACTTTTCTGTATAAGAAATTCTCTACTTTAATAAATGCTGGCTAAAATGAAATGCCACACACACTCACAATTTCAGCCACAAATATTTTGCACAAGAATGTTTCCAGAAGTTTTGAAGAAATGTTAATGTGTTACCAGCCCTGTCTGGGCAACACTGGTATCTGCAGGAATTACTGCTGCTGAGCAGGTGCTGCTTATTCTGTGCTGATGACATTCCCTTTGTAAAGTTACACTGTGGTCCTCATGAACTTCTTATCAGTGTTTGAGATGGTGGGGGAAGTTTAACGGGAGGATTTAAACAGTTGCTGTGGAGTGAATGATTTCTTTTTTGCATTTTGCAGGAAGAAAAAAAGTTTACAAAGACTGTGCAAGGGAAGGTCCAGAGCAGTTACCATCACTCAGTTCAGGAAATTGGAGAGCTGCTGAAAAAGAGACTCGATACTATTAAAAAACTAAAGATTTGAGAAACACATCCTTGACAGACTCCACAGGAGAGTGACACCAGAGTCCCAGACAGAAGCAACATCCAATATACCATCACTTTAATCCAGAACTTCCTCAGAATGCATGAAGGACTTAAAATCATAAAACAATTTTTTTAGGTATTACAGATGTATTGAGCTGATTTAAATTATTGTACATAAATGAGAAGCAGGGACCCTTATTGGGGTTTGACCACTTTTTATACATGTTCATAAGCATATTGCAACAGGAGAAAATTAACTTTCTTCCCTTTTGATCTCTAGAAACAACTGGAGATGGTCTTTAGAAGCAGCAATAGAAATCCAGTGTAAAGCATATATCTCAAAGGAGTTGTATTTTCATCACCATACAGTGTTTATAATTTTTGTATGGTCCTTGCCTTAGAAATGCAGAAATTGTAGATGCCCGCATTCAGCCGCCTCCAATGAAATGAGCCCATTTTGGAGCTGCCCGTTTTGTCCGCAAGCCACCTGGTCCTACTGAATTAATTCAGTGTGTGGTGCAGCAGGGAGAGGTGAGGCTGCACTGAGGAACACCCTCTGCATACAGCCTTCCAGCAGAGCCCAGCCTCCCTCGCAGGGTGGGAGTAAGCCAGGCCTGGTGCCGAGGCAGGTTCCTCTAAGGAGAGAACTGCTGGAGGGAAGAGATGGTGTCGGTGTGCACACAGGTTGTTCTCACGTTCAGAAAAATTGCAAACCTGATGAGGAGCAAACTTGGCCATTAAGCTTTAGAGAGAGAGAGAGAGATGGGAATCAGTGTTTCAGCAAAAAATACAAAACCAGAGACCTTGTATATAATAGCTGCAGTGAAGTCTGACACTGCGGTCTGATTTCATGTCAGTTTAATGTAAAACAGCAATCATCATGACTTTCAAAAAGTGTATTTAGATTACTGAAACTTCAAGACTTAAATATTTTAATAGAAATTAAATCCTATTGGCTTTGGTTTTAATTTGGCAGAGGTAACTTTTGCTTCCGCTGTGGTATGAGGCTGAGAGTACTTTTTGTAACTGTATGCTTGCTTTTTGCAGTTGATCTTTATTCAAGTACTAGCTCATTAGGCATTCTGTTAGAAAGTGCAGTCGCATCATCTGCTCCCACTGAATCTGCATTTCTGCTGTTTTGTTTTGGTGGGTTTTGGGTTTTTTTTTTTTTCATTTTAAAGGAGTAATGCAGCCTAAAATTGGTAGGCAAGAAAAATTACATGTACCTGCAATACAAGGGACAGGTCAGACTTTACAGATTCCTCATCTTCTGATTTAAAGCAGCTACTTATCTGAAGTCTATATTTAAAGTTTTAAGAGAGCTGACAATCCTACTTTTGTCATCTCTTCTAAGTATGTTTTGTTAGTAATGTTAGAATGTTGATGAGAGTATTTTTTTAAAATAAATCCCCTGTAAGAGGAAAAAAAAAACCAACCACATTGCTGCTCTTGCTGGATTTACTTTTGCTTTGCCCCATCCTGAAAGGGAAAGAAGAATGTCTGCAGGTTGTCTAATTGTAATGGATGTCCTGATGGTTTAATTGCAATGTCTGGTAAGTGCTCTGGGCTGGAGGAATACCAAAATGTGTTAAGTCTGTTTTATAGTAATACTTTTCTTGAAGGGGGGTGGGGGGGAAGGAAAAAAAAAAAAAAAAAAGAAACACAATTGAACTCTTATATGTTGTATAGAAATACCTTTTTGGAAAGAAGGGTGTGCTCCTTAAATTAAAGCAAGACTGATGGCTGAAATTGATGCTTTGAGATGTGTAGGGTAAGTGAAAACAGTCCCATTGCTGAGATGATGCAATTCATAGAGAAGCACTGAGCCAGAAATCTGCACTGCCCCTTTTCATGCAAGGAGGCAAATTGCCGTTGCTGATGCTCCTGTCCCCTGCCTCCCCCATGGCAGTGCTAACTACAGAGGGCTTTGCGCAAACACCAGCATTGAATGCAAAGGTGACACAGCACCCTCGTCCAGAGGGGTAGTCCAGGGACTGATTTATGCTGGAGTTTCCTTCCACTGCTGCTACAACAGGTTGAATTCAACCAGTCGTATCAATAAGCAATGGTGAAAATGTAAGTGAAGTGTAAGGTTAATATAACCAAGCTTTTAAAATCCTCCCATGTGCCTGAAAGCAGAACTTTAAAAAAAGGTTCTCTGCATCAGCTCTCTTTAAAAACAGAATTGAAACTACTGGGGGGTATGTGTGTCATCTGAAGCAAAGTCTGAGAAGAGATGGAACCATGGCTCGCTCTCACTTCCCATCACAGCATTTGGCACGGCCCAGGTCTGGTGTTGGCTGGTCACTCAAACCATCCCTGTGCCAGCACAGGGGGAATACTGACTGCTGCTCAGTGTTAGCTACTGTCCCGTTTCCAGTTCCAGCCACTGGTGAACGATAACGATTTTTGGATTACTCAGTGTTTTATAAAACCGGGTGCCATCTCTTCATAAGCTGTAGTTTCTCTATAGGAAGAGATGATGTACAAAAATTACTATTTGCTGACTGTTTGGGGGCTTGGTTGAGGGAGAGGGAGAATTTCTCTCCCCCTATAAATTGTGTACAGTTAAATATATTATATATTTCTTACAAAAGAGCATTTCCCCTCCAGAATGTGTCCCACAGGGACCTGATAAGAAATTCAAGCTATAACCCATTGCTGCTGTTCCCCTTTTCCACTCTTGGGATTTGTTTCTGTTAGTTTGTTTTTGGAATTTTTTTTTGGTGGTGAATTGAAAAACATACCTAGAAGAAGCTACCAAGACTACTGTTTACAGACTGAAAAAATACTGCTTTTATACTACTGGGATCATGAGCCACGATCCTTTTACAGACTTCCTCAACTCTTCTCTTTGCTTAAAATCAGTGTCTGATGTAGATAAAGGCCAGAAGTCTCCTACCCTGCTTTGTCTACATACATGACAAAATGTACAATGCCTGTTTGTGTTGCCCATCATTTTTGTACTTTTTAATTGTTCAAAAATTGCATTTATATTTTGCAATCATTGATAATCATGACTTTATTTTAACCGCTAGTAATCTTAGGAGGGGACTTTTTTGTTGTATCTGCAGCCTTATCTGAACTTTCTCTTCCTTGATTATTCATTGTTAATTTATGACTGTAGAAGATATGTATGCCTCAGCCTTCTACGGACTTAAGTGACACAACTGCAAATGATCTGCTTTAAACTGGATGGGTTTATAATTTATATAAAAGTCAGTTTCGTTACGAATCAGTATTGCTGCCTCTCTCATTTTTCTGACAGGATGTTCTGGAAGTGACTGAAGTGTTTGCCTCCAGTGTCTAGCTTTGTCAGCCCCTTGGTGAAGCCAGATTATCCTGGTGCACGGCAAGCAGAAAATCAAGTTACCTGCAAAGAGGGAGGATGGAAAGCGGTGTGGGGGGGGAAATGCTCATTGCTTTCTACCTCCAGACTGGGTTCAGAATGATGTCTGCTGGGCCGAGGGAGACATTGACATGATCTGACATGATTTGACGTGATTTGTCAATCTGCTGTTGAGGCTTTCTGCATTGCTTACTTCTACTTTATCTTGGCTTGCAGTGACAAGGAAGGTAAGGGCTGACAGTGCCTGAGATATCTCTAGTAGCACAAAAAAATGTGCTTGAGAGCACCGTGACAATGCGATGGCAGCAGCTGCCCTGCCTGGCCTGCTGCTGTATATAAATATATACACCACCTGGTTTCTCCTCTCCCTGC